ATGAGTATATAAAACCCTTGCTCCTGAATAAGTGCCTGGCTCCCTTATGTCGTCACAAATTACATTTTTATATGGTGTGGCATAAGCAGGATTGCAAGTACTGTCTTCAGCAGCTGTCCTACTCAGCTTTCTGTTGCTGTGATAAAACACTGACCAAAACCAACTTGGGAAGGAAACAGTTTATTTGGCTTACACATCCCAATCACAGCTTCTCACTGAGGGAAGCCTGGGTAGGAACTCAGGGTAGGAACCTAGAGGCAGAAGCTGAAGCAGAGACCATGGAGGAACACATTTTACTTTCCAGCTCCTCTGGCCTGTGCCCAGCCTTTATTTTACCACCTAGGACTTCCTGCCCATGGGCCGTACCACCCACAGTGGGGCATTTTCAGAAGAAAATGCCTCACAGACGTGGGCACAGGCTAACCTGATAGAGATAATTCAGCTGAGGTTCCCTCTTCTCTGGTGTGTCAAGTTGACAACTGAGCTATCCAGCACAGTGGTTGTCTTTAAATTTCATAGTTCTTACAGAGGAGCCACAGAGCAATACCGTCATAATTCTCTGATTGCCAAGTAAGTGTGTAGGATACAGTGCTAACTTGTCCAGTGTCCCAGCTCCTCCCTCCTAGGCTGGCTGCCTCTTCTAACAGTGGGTTCCAAAAGTGGAAACGGAGGCAGAGATCTCCACTTTGCATGCTTCTGGATGCCCTTGGTCTCCCTAGTTGTGTAACAACTGGGATCACCAGACGTCACATACTTGGTTGCCTCATCCCTATGAGTATTTAAGAGCCCAATTCCGCAAGTGGCATTCCCACCATCAGCCTGGTCTGCACACCATGCTCCCTAGCTTCCCAGTAATATGGGACCTCCCCTAGACACTGGTGTGTTGCTTCCAGGCACCCACTTCCTGCCGCCTCTTCTTCCTTTCTCTTCCGGCTGCTAGAGCAATATGGCATTTCTACTTCAGAGAGAGGCAGCTTTACTTTATCAAGTTGTTTAAGAGCCATGCCAGATCTATCTTGCTGGACTCCTGCCCAACATACATCCTGAGAGCACATGCTCCTGGAACTCATTCAGCCCAATGTTCCCTCCCAGCTCTATTTAAGCCCCTCAGTCCAATCCCTATCTTCCCATGCTTGGTGCACTGGTGAGTGAAGGTTGTTTGTGGTCAGCTGCACTTTACCCTTCTCCCTTTATGGCCTTGGATTCTACAAGAAACTCAAAATTAACCCTTGCTGTTGGCCTCGTGTAGGAGCCCAACATGGAGACAGCTCACCCTTTCTGGGGTGGCTGGTCTCTTTGATATTCCCAGATTCTATTGTATCCATGTAGTATTTTGGTACCAGGGCTCAGAACCTAGGTGCCCTCCACATACCTTTACAGAACAGCCTGACCTGGCCTCCTCCACTCAGTGGTAAGAGCTGCCATGAGGCACACTGATGTCCTGTCAGCTGCTGAAATAGCTCTGTCTCATCAACTTTCTACAGGTTGACAGGACACGGGAGTCAGCTAGCCCTGTCCTGTGGGCTTCGTTCACCTATGCTCACTGCTCTTCAAAGGTCTCATTAGCAGCTTCTTGGGATGTCTTCCCAGGTCACCACTCATAAAGCCCCGTTTATGTCAGGAGCACCAACCTCTAGCAGCTGGGAAAATCTTTCTCACTGCAGGGTAGTGCTCAAGCCAGTTCCAAGTCTTCTCCTGATGCCATATTTATGGGTGCAGGTCTCCAAAACACAGATGCAGCCAGATAGAGAGTGATCATCAGATATTATTGTAATTTCTAGTGTTAAACTGGGGGAAGACTGGAAGAGCAAGCAGCCTGAGGTGCTGAGCTCCAACTTTATTGAGTTGACAGACAGAGGGTGTGGGGAGCCTTGGACCAAAGAGCCAGGTGTTCAGTGCCGGGATTTGGCACCAACAGAGGATAGATCTAGGTCCAGAGCATACAGCTGGCCTTATATCATGCTTCCTGTGGTTTCATGTCATTCTGTGAAGGCAGTAATGTCCTAGGTGGGTCTCCTCCTTCCCTCCCTCCCCCTCCTCCCTCCCTCTCTCCTCCCTCCCTCCTTCCCTCCCTCCCATGTCCTTCCCTCTTCCTCCCTCTCTCCCCTTTAGCTCTCCTCCTCTCCTTCTCCTTCTTCCTGTCCTCTCATCCCTTTTTCTTCCCATCCCTACCTTTATCTCTGCTGAGAACCATATTCAGGGCCTTGTAGATTCTAGGCAAGCAAGGTATCACTGAGATATATCGATAGTTTTCAAAAACGTAATTTCTGACAGCTGCATAACAGTTCACAGAATGATCCATCATACATCACCCATTAACTGATTGTCAGGTTGTCTATTTTCTCTCTCTCTCTCTTTCCCTCTCTCTCTCTCTCTCTCTCATGGAAGTCAGTGCAGGTGTCCTTTGTGAGCCACAGCGATGGCACTGTGCACACCTATTCAAACATGTCTCTTGTTGGAGCTGGAGTGCCACTGTCTAGCATCAAACATGTCATCATCCTGACCTGACCCAGCCCTGAACCTGTGGTGTAGCTGAACCCCAAGTGCAGAGAGCACTTGAAGTGCTTGGTTATGTTGTTTCCTTGATCCATCAAAAAGCCCCATAGGAAGAGAGGGGTTGAGCAGGACACTGCCCAGATCTACCAGGACAGTGTACTCCTTAAACAAGACAGAGGCCCCTAGACTGCGTAGGTCTAACAGGTGGTTTTGTGTCTTTTGGACCACCTACTTCTGCCAGCCATTTGCCTCTTAGAAGATGAGGAGGAAGAACCAGATCAAGCTCAGTAGGATGTCTGAAAGGCACCAATGGAGTACTGACTTGTATTAATTACCAGGGACACTGTCCTATTGAGAAGCCCTTAGGGCAAGCCAGGTGACCACCAGCCATTCAGGGCCCTTGGGCTCTGGGAACTTCAACGATCATGGGATCAGGCCGGGCCTGGGTGTCCCCTCCACCTTCCCCTGCTCACACAGTTAGCACTGGTGCCTCCATAGATCAGGGCCTGCAGGATACTCATAGACTCACCCCAGAATCACAGAGTGCACTTGGCCTCTGTTACATTCACACCAGGACTCTAAGCATGTGCCGAGCTTGGGATACCTTGCCCTACTGTTTACCAGCTGTGTATGTGTAGACAAACCTCTAAACCTGACAGCTTATGTGAAGTGGGCATCATGACTCCTGCCTCCCAGATCCTGGGCATTCAGTGGCTAGATATTACAGCAGGCTCCTGACTTCAGTTCCATCGACACTGGGGCCAGACAACTCTCTCCTGGGGGCTGTTCCATATTCCCCAGGATAGTTGTCAACAGCCCTACCCTCTGCCTATTCTTGTGATAAGCATCTCCTGCCATCACCACTGGACTCAATTACATTATTTTTAAAAAGAACCAAGGATTAGTAATCTTGTATAGTTCAACCTAGTAATAATGATGTATTTAGTCAAGAAGCTTTGACTTTTACATCCATATTTGTGTGTTCCATCTGGTATAAAGGAACTCAGTGTTGCCCCAGATGCCAGAAGAAGATGAATTTAGACAATGCCTGGCCTGAGTCCCCCTTTAGCCTGATAAATAGAATTTCTGCCAGTGTCCTCATCTGCAAAATGGGGTTTATGATACCTACTTCCCAGCACTCTTCCCAGGGTGCTGCTGTATACCAGCAGGTGTCAGAGCTATCACGTGAAGGCCACCGGCTGTCCCCTTGCAGCTCAGGTGTTCTTGGAGCTTTTCATAGCAGCTGCTTTGGATCTGTGAAGAGGTGTTATGGTGTGAGAGATGTGTAGGTAGAGGAGTTGGGTGAGGTTGCTGGATGGGGAATGCACCTGGCCAGACAGGAAGATACTGATCTGGCTCATGGAAAAGAGCAGGTGGCCTTCTGAGGAGAAGGGAACCCTGTGGTGGTGGGTCAGTAGCCTGCCACTCTCTGGCTGCACAGGGGAACCAGAGAATCCAATACTTCATGCAGCAGCGTGCTCACTAGACTCTGGGTGCTTTCTCATGATCATGTTCCTTTCTGCCCACAGATGTACCGAGGCTTCACTAAGATGCCCCATGTGCAGTACATCCACACGGAAGCCTCCGAAAGTCTCTGTGGCCTTAAGCTAGAGGTCAACAAGTACCAGTACCTGCTGACAGGTAAAGGCTGCTTAGAGCACTAAGGTGATGTTCCCTCACCTTGATGGGGCCAACAAAACTGAGTCAGTGGTGTCCTGAGGGCTGTAGCCATGTGTCTCATGAATTGGGAGGATGCCAATGTCTAGTGTTGCTTGCTTGCCCAAGACTGGCTGGCAGCCTTCACTCTGTCACACACCCTGTAGTATCCTGGTTTTGTGATATTTCAGCTTTATGTAAGTGCAAAGGGGTTGTGTTTTCTACAGACAACATGTTAGGTCTGTATTTTATTATTACAAGGACAATCTTTAAGTAGTCAGTGTGGTTATGGAAAAACCTCAAACCCTAAGGGGAGAGCAAAGGGTTGGTCTGTAGTCCTTGCTCTAAGACTTAATGGTTTTGGGGCCTTTCACAGAGAGCTGAAGCTCTTGAGCTCCCTTATCATCAGGAAAACAGGGCCACAGTTCATCTCTAAAGGTGCTGAAGAAGGTGTCATAAAACAAAGGGTGGGGATGGGGAGGGTGGTTAGGGTGTGGCCCTGGTAGGTACACAGCAGTGTGAAACCCTGTCTCCAGTGAGGCTCTAACAGAATGCATCCTGTCCCGCTTCAGGCCGTGTCTATGATGGCAAGATGTATACCGGGCTGTGCAACTTTGTGGAGAGGTGGGACCAGCTCACACTGTCCCAGCGCAAGGGGCTTAACTACCGCTACCACCTGGGCTGCAACTGCAAGGTGAGCCCTGGGGGCTGGCAACACCCTGGAAACTTTGGTTCCCATTATGCTGGGACAGGCAGCATGTTGGGTGGGGTGCAGGGGTGGTAAGGAATGCTGCCCCAGGGCCAGGCAGGCAAGAGGTGACGAGGAATGCCTTTGTTCTGTACTCCTGCCTGGATGATGCCCACTTGACAGCTGCTGGGACACCAGGGCTCTTCAGCACTCTGGCCCCTCCCAGCCGTTCAAGGCTGTGGCAGGTACAAGAGGCTTCTCCTGCGGGTCCTGCCAACAGTCCCAAGTGTGCTCACCCTGGCAGCTGACTCACTGGGGCACCTGCCCAGGTGGGCATGCTGGCTCAGGTCTGCTGATACCAGGTGCTGTCCAATACCTCCCTTCACCCAGGTCCAGACCCTTCCCTAAGCCTTAGACCACTGGAGGGAGCTGAGTGACTCCTTCCCCTCAGAATACTCTCAAGTACTATAATTACTATTACCTCACTGTATAAGCAAGGAAATCAAGGCTCAGAGAACATAAATAACCAGTCCTGGACCACATAGTTTGTTGAGTCTGATTTCTAACATAGAGCAGGTGGACTCCAAAATGTATGCTTTTAATCTTTTGAATTCCTTCATTTCCTACAACAGCAAAGTCTCCCCACCTTACATCCAATCTGGGACTCAAAGTTGTGTGACCTGGAGCAAACTGCTTAATCTTTCTGAGCCTCTGTGAGGAGGGTTTAAAGGCACTGTGTCTGGCACACAGTAGGTAATGAGCTAATGGCTAGTGCACCTACACTCTTATCATTGAAGGGCAGGGCCCACCATGCTACCTTCCCCTAACTGTTGATTGTGGTCTCAATGCAGATAAAGTCCTGCTACTACCTGCCTTGCTTTGTGACCTCCAAGAACGAGTGTCTCTGGACCGACATGCTCTCCAATTTCGGCTACCCTGGCTATCAGTCCAAACACTACGCCTGCATCCGGCAGAAGGGTGGCTATTGCAGCTGGTACCGAGGATGGGCTCCCCCAGACAAGAGCATCAGCAATGCCACAGACCCCTGAGCCCAGATCTGCCCCGCTTCACCTCCCTCCCTTCCCGCTGAGTCTCCCGGACACTAACTCTTCCCAGATGATGACAATGAAATTAGTGCCTGTTTTCTCGCAAATTTAGCACTTGGAACATTTAAAGTCTCTGCTGTCTATGGAGTTGATTTGGAACTACCCTCCCGGCCTTCCGGCCTTGCCCCTACCCCTTCTTTTTGGTTTTGACGTCACCCATTTCCACCTGGGAATCTCTGGTGTCAAGCCAGAAAGAATGAGGCAGGTATATGCCTCTTCTTCTGATATATAATCTATATTTTTTTAGGAAAACAAAAACCGAAAAATCTACCCCATTTGGGTATTGTAATAGCTACTCTTTCTTCTTCCTCTCTTGACCATATCCCAGACCTTCCTCACTGCCCACTTCTTCATCCCAATACACAAAGAGTCTAGATAAGGAAGTTAACAGAAATCCAACTGTTTCCTGATCAGTCCAGGGCAGCAAGCAGACAGACTCCAGGTACGCAAAAGATCTTATACACAGCGGAGATGCAACTGTGTGTCTAGACCAGATGGTCTATGTTTGCATGTCAAAGTGAGGGAGGGAAGGGACAGACTGCAGAAGTGGATCTGAGATGACAGTTTCCCAGCCCCATGACGCTTGGGTTGACCAGATGTTCCAAAGCCTGGAGCAAGCATCCAGGTCAGAATAACTGAACTTTCTGAGTTGGTGAAGACTTAAACATCTGCCTGAGGTCAGCAGGCAACCTGCCTGTCTGTATAAAAGCTCAGATGAAGGGCTGAGATGAACGTCTTTCCTCTCCTGCCTCCCATGAGACATCCTCCAGGCGAGTTTGGCTTGGAGCTTGTCAGTATATAAGCTGGAGAAATACACACAGCATACATGATCCACAGATATAGCCAAGTAGATTTGGATAGAGAATACTATTTCCAAAGTAGTGTTTAGCTCATCTAGGAGGACGTGTTTATATACACATTTGCATATACCCACATGGGATTATGAGCTAATTTTTTTTTACAGGACACAGAATTCTGTTCAATGCTGTTAAATATGCCAATAGTCTAATCTCTTTTGTTGTTGCTTGTTTGAAGAAAATCGTGACATTCCAAGTTGACTTTTTTTCCATATGAATTAAAATTTGAAACCCTGAACACCCTCAGCACCCTCTTGTCCCTATAATTGGGGTCACCTGACCTTTGACCTTTGTCCTTTTATCTTTCTGCTTTGTGTTTGGGGTGGGGAGGCTTCACTTAACTGCCTTACTGGCTGGCGGACGGCAGGTGAGTGCAAGTGTGGGTCAGGGCCTTCACGTAGGAGGGACAGCTGCAGAGCATCCTGCCTCAGCTGAATGCCACCTCTCCTGGACTGGGGGACAGCATGCCTTCCCTCAGCTTACCAGTGAATGAACACCACCACCTGAGGTTGTCACCTCCTGGAATTAACATGGATTGGTCACTGGGGAAGCCAGGCTCTGCCATTAGCTATAGGCCTTTTTTTCTTTTCTTTTCTTTTTTTTTTTTTTTAAAGATAAAACTATAATATAAATTTTCCTATTAAATAAAATTATTTTAAATTTTAGTGTCAAAATGAGATACCAAGTGTAGGTAAATGTGTATTTTACAGATTGAGATGGTGGGGTGACACAACATGATTGCTCTGTGTCTCTTTTCAGATCATGGGTCTGTATCCTCTGTTAGTATTTGTATCTTCAGTTCATTCCACTTTAGGAAACAGAGCTGCCAAGTAAAACAAGAGAAAAAAAAGTAGACAGGTTGTGGTGTCTCCCACATAGCAATGCCCTGGCCAGGTGTTTGGTGGAATCTCAGAGCAGGAACAGCTCAGGCACTGGCTGTCTGCTTTCTTTGGGGTCGATTTTATTCCCATGTAACTTTTCCCTGTGGTCATGCCATTTGACAAAGGGGAATAGGAGGTGTGGCCCTTTCTATGGGGCTGAGTGAGCAGAGGTTGCTGAGGTCAGCAAGCCAGTGGTTCTTAAGGAGTGAGCCTTAGACTTACTGTTTGGGGTCTGTATTTCAACCTCAAAGTCTCTCAAGGTAGAGCTCCTGACCCATCCCATACAAGTGCCCTCCCATGTAATTCTCAATTCCTGTGTGGTCACTCCCACTCCCAAAGGGAAAGACTTGAGGAGGCTTGAGTATGCGGCACCTGCAGAATAAATCAATTGACAGAACTATGGCCCCAGTCAGCTGGTGAGGCCCTGGTGAGAGGTCCTGGGCAAGGAAGGGTCTTTTGCAAAGTCATACCATCGGAGGGCGGCTTTTGAGCTTTCTATAAGCTATAGCTTTGATAATTTCACCTGTTCACTTACTGTATAATTTAAAGTCATTTATGTAGCTGAGACACTTCTATATTTCAATCATATCGTGAATGTTTTATTTTGCTAAATCTTACGCCACGTGTAGGCTGTCATATGTGTACATTGTGTTTAAGAGAAGAAAAAACAATGAAACCCACATGCTGCCATTTTCCTGACTCAAATTCTACAGTGGAATGGAGGGTAAAGCACTGGGACTCGGACACACAGCTAGACTGGCGAATCCACAAATATATAGAACTAGAAACAGAAACTTCTCCAGCCTCCTCTCTGTGGAATCCCAAGGGTTTCCCACATAGGAAGGAGAAGAAAAAACAAAAATCCAGAAAGTAGGCTCAAGTCCTTGTTATGTATCAATTTTCCCTTGGCCATTTGCTACCCACTTCTACCCTATGTACTTAGACCTTTCTCCCTCTTACCCTGGAAGCCATGATTTCCCCTGGGAGTTCTAGAGCCATGGTGACTGATTCCAAGCTTGTTTTGTTTCCCCAACCAAGGAACTCCCATGCATAGTTTCTTGCTTCCCAGGCTGGTGCTCTGCTATAGCCAGGGTGGGGAGCACATGGAGAGCCCATCTCCTTACCCTCTCCAGCCCTGCCATGCCACACAGTAACAAAACAGCCCACAAGCACCATGTTTCATACCATGCCTCCCGAACAATGAAAGAGACCATTGACTTATTAGAATGGCTCTGTCTAGGAGGAAATGTGGGCCCAGGAGGCACTGCCCTCCCCTGCCTCATGCCAAGAGAGCATTCAAGTGGTTGGCTCCCAGCTATGCAAGTAAAATCATCACTCTAGTGTTTGTATCAGAGAAAAACATGTTTTAAGAAAGGTCTAATGGCAGAAGCACAATGAAATGGGAGAAGGTAGGAGAGGAAGAGCTCAACAGATCCAGGGGCCTCTTGGTGGGGAGAGGAGGAGAGGAGGAAAGAAAATGATGCTCCAGGGGCCAGAGGACCTTAGATTCTCCGTGTTCCCTTTTTCCTTTAGCCAGTCGGCTGTGCTGAAGCCAGAAATGATGGAGAGAAACCAACTTCAGAGAAAACCCTATCTAGAAGGAATGTATTTGTTGCTAAATTTTGTAGCACTGTTTACAGTTTTCCTCCATGTTATTTATGAATTTTATATTCCGTGAATGTATATTGTCTTGTAATGTTGCATAATGTTCACTTTTTATAGTGTGTCCTTTATTCTAAACAGTAAAGTGGTTTTATTTCTATCACAAACCTGCTGTCTCTTGCCTTGTGTCCTGACTACTTTGCGTGTGTGTGGGGGGAAGGGGATTATATAAATAACAGGAGGCCCCTGGAAGCAGATCCTGCCTGTGTACTTCCAGGATCCAGCACACAACCTCCTACCATCTCTACAGTGGTCCCCCAGCCCAGTCCTTTCCCTTCCAGCAGAGACTTGAGGACAGGTATCCTGGACTTCCTCTTGTTATCCCAGCCCTGCCTGACTTCACTCCCAGCTTGTACTGGCAGGATTTTCCCTAATTCTGCAGTGTTTAGGTCTCTATCTAACCACCCGTGGGTGGTATAGGTCCCCAGAGCTGGGACTGTCTCAGCATTCTTTTCTTCCTGAGAATCCCACCTTGGTGGAGGAGGGACTGGAAGCTTGCAAACAGCCATGTTTGATGTTGGCGGTTGGCCTGAAATCCCAAGGAAAGCTCCACCTGGTAGGAAATGCCAGGAACACTCAAGCCCCAGGACAACTGGTGAGCTCCCACCCCCTAGCTCAATGAGCTACCCTCTGCACATCAGTCACCCAGCTGCCAGCCTTTCCTTGCCAGTGTTCCCAGTTATTGCTTTGCCCCTATCTGAAATGTCCTCTCTGAGTACCCATCATATTCCAGGGCTTAGGTTTACAGACATGGTCACATGGACTCTCATCAACTTAATATAGCTCTCTAGTCTCACAGAGATTAAATCCTTGTTCAAGATCTATCAGTAGACTAGCCTGTGATTCAAACTTAACTGGTTTGAAGATATACTCTGAATTGTCCCCATTGTTCACACTTAGTTGGAGTATTGATGTGTCCTTCTGTGTGAGTCAGACCTTGTCATTGTGACCAAATACCTGAAGGGAAGCAGGTCAAGGTAGGAAGGGCTTATTTAATTTGACTAATCATTTCAGAAGCTTGGGTTCAATACGGTGGGGACGGTGTGGTGGAGGCTACAGTTTATATCATAGTGGAGAGGAAGTAAAGAGCACGCCTGCACCACAGGTTTTCTCCATTTCCCCTTTATTATATCTGGGCCTCTGACTTCATTATCGCCCATATTCTGGGTGGGTCTTTCTCCACTCAGTTAACCTTCTCCAAAGCCCGCCCTCCCTGTCCCACATACATCCCACACCCAGAAGGACACTTTTCATTCCAGTCAAATTGGTCACCAGATTAACTATCACACTTATTTATGCCAACCAGCATACTCTGGATTCTTTGACTGACGGGCAGATATAGAAGGAAGACAGTTAAAGAAAGCATCTGCTTCGCTAGATTGTTCCCACCTGGAGCTCACAGTCCTACCTGGCAATGTGTTCAAACAGGGCTGTCCAGATCAGCAGCCTGGGCTTGCCATTCTACAGTCAGGCCACAGTCCCAAGCTGGAATGAGTATATCCCACTCATCTTGTTCCCGAGACCCCCATTCCCTGCAAGGTCAAGTTTAGTCCCGTGACCCTGCATTCCTTTAACAAGTTTATGAACCACCAACTATGTACCGGTTATTCAAGCAGGCATGCATTAAGGCAGATTCCAGCAGCTCACAACTCTTCTACCCAATTTTTTTGAGTTGTGAACACAGAACTCTCCAACCCAATCAGAAAGATATCTGTTCCATCTAGTACCTTCCAAATATCGAAACCACATACTCTGAGCTCAGCCCAAGTTGCTTCCCAGAGATATCCATGGGTATACTCAAAAGACAGTAAAGAGAACACATAAGTACAATGCTCTTTAATAATCACCACAAATAAAATATTGCACTTTTATTGAAATACCAGTAAAAAGAAACAGGGTAGGAAGGACCAGTAGAAAGCAAATCCCAGAAAAAGCTTATGTGAAGTAACATTTTACCATGGAAACAGTTTTTCCTTTTATCTCAACCTCTGGTTCCAGCATGCCAGCTCAAGTCCCCTGATTTGTTGACAATTAGCGAAAGTCTCAAAGAGTGTTGACTATCTTTTCCATTTGCCCTATTGCCTGAATTTCCCCCTGGAGAAGTTGACGCTTCCCCTAGGAACACCAGACATTTTCACATCAAGGTTCCTACCTGGAGTCCAGGTGACCAAGAAGGTGTGAGCGGCTCAGGGAGATGCATAGACACTGAAGCTCATCCCGCATTGTGAAGATAAGAACAAAAGGGCACTCACCATTGGCTTGTGGTTGGGGAAAAACGTTTGCTCCACAAGAGGAAACTTCTCAGGACCCAGGGAGTGGAAGATCTTAATGAGCTGAGAGAACTGGGAGAGGAGAGGAGAGACCATTCGTCAGCCATTGTTTCTCACCATGACCACAACATGCCCTCCATCCTGGCCTTCTGAGCTGAGCGGCAGCAGCTGGCGCTCCTCACCATTTCCGTGGCTGAGCCTCATCTTCTCCTTTACTCAGCTGCCTTAACCACTGCCTGGCCCTGACTTAGCAGCTAGGCAGGACACCGGGCTAAACTCAACTGCATTTAATGAGCACTTACAGAATCCTCAGCATTTCCCACAGTCCTTGCCCACAGCACGACCTGGTGACATTCACACCATCCCTCTGCCTGCAATGTCTGTCTTTCTAGAAGGGCAGCACTGTGGGCAGTTTATGCTATAGACTCTGGATCCAGACACCCTGGGGTCAAACTCTTGCTTTGTTGCTAACTACCTGTGATGCCTGTGAGGTGGTGAAGTGCAGGTTTCTGAGCCTCTGTTTCCTTATTTGTAAATTGAGGATATAGAGAAATCTTACTCTCTGGGTCACTAGAAGGGCACCAGTGCCTGGTTTAGGAGTGCAGAACTGGTGTTAGTGGTAAATATTTCCTCTGCCTTTACCGTTTCTCATGTTTCCAAAAACTAAGACCAGTCCCTTCCCACCATGCATTTCGTGTTTCTACACTTCCTAACTGGGCCTCCGATTAGCCTGTATTTCCAGAACGAAAGGGTTAATTCCATTACCCAGTGCTGTGCACCAGTGCCGTGGCATTGTGTCTGATTACCAGGGCAACACTCTGAGCCTGTTAGGCCAGGCCTGGAGGAAGACAAAGCTACACCACAAAGTTGACATGCTGGTGGGAAGCACCATGGGACATGAAAGAGGATAAAGTAGGGAGTCAGGAAGGTTCCCTGGAGCCTATGACATATATATCACAGGACAGATGACATGTTGGGGATCCTTGTGAATAGACTGTTTCACTAGAGTAGGAGATCCAGGGGCAGGGACTCTCGTCTCATTTGGTCACTGCTATGTTCTAAACCAGCTGTTGGACTTAGAACAGTACCTGGAGGCTAGCAAGTCCTCAAAATAGATCTGAGTGGTTGTGCTACCTGTACGAAGGGAGATGGAAGGTATGTAAAGGAATGACGTCATTCTCAGTGCAAATCAACGTATGAAGTAAACAGAGTACAGTTAGGGATTTGAGAGTGTTCCAAGGAGTGAGAGGGCTGGCATTTTAGGAAAAGCCCCTGTTTGCAGTGACGTTTGCATGGAGATTTGAGTGAATCAAGTGAATGAATGAGGTCAGTGAGTCAAAGGGAGAGGCAAACTCTGAGTTGGAGAGAAGGCTTCCAGGACTGGCTTCACCACTCATTTCACTGGGAGGGAGAGTTCCTTATCCAGCCTGACACTGAGCTTTCTCATCTGCAGGATAGGGGCATGATGCCATCTTCAATTACAATGATTGCAAGGGCACCAGTGGCCAGTAAGTAATACAGTACACAGTAAGTGCTTAATAAATGATGCCTGCTGTGAAGACCAACTGGAGGAAATTATGCCAGAATGTTAGAAACAGTAAGATACTTTTTTGTTTTGGGTCAGGGTCTCATATAGCGTAGGCTGGCCTAGAACTTTCACTATGTAGCCAAGGATGACCTAGAACTTCTGATCCTCCTGCCTCTATCTTCTAAGTGTTGGGATTAGAGGTGTACACCATGACCTGGTTTATGCAGTGCTGGGGGATCAAACATGGCAATCTACCAACTGAGCTAAATCCCCAGCCTAGGATATTTCAGACTAATATTACTAATAACATGATCCTGTATTATTAGTGCTTCATATAATATTTTCAAGGCAGCAATTCCAAGAAGAGTCTTGAGGTCAAGCTGCCTGTTCAGTTGCTTAAAGATTCGTTTGCTTGCTGAAGCTCTGTGTTGGGAATGGACCCATGTGTAGGCTAGGGACCACCCATTGCTTCCCAGTTCCCCCAGGTGGGCCTGGTCTGCCACCTACCACCCAGGGCTTGCTGCAGAAGTTGTACACGGAGTAGAGAGAGTTGACAGCAGGCAGCCTTCCATACTGGAGGCCGATGACCAGGCTGCGGTAGTCCTCGGCTAGGGCCATGCTGTAGGCATGCTGGCGGACCAGGATGAAGTCCGGCCTGAAGGATCTGCAGAGAGAGCGGACAACAGTGATGTTACCGCGTGGCATTGTGCTGGATCACCAGGGCTTGCTGGGTCTAGCCCTGACCCCAAGTTGCTGCCCATGGGAACTCTAAGCCGAGAGAGAACGTGGTAGGGGTAGACGAAGGCAGTTAGGTGTGACACATAGTTACTAGTTACAAAACAAAAGAACTGACAACACCAGGTACTTTCTTGTGTTTGGATTTTAGGCTGTTTCCTATATTTCTTACATTGATCATCTCTTTCATTAATTCACAACCAGGAAATTAAAGTTTCAAATACCCGAGTGAACAGAGTAACTTTTGCTAGGTTCCAGGCAGTGTATGGAACGGATGCATTTTGTGTGGGTACAGATGCCATCAGCTCTCATTTCACAGAGGTGCACCCTGAGGCTCAGGAGAGAAATAACTTATTCAAAAAGATGCACTGTGGGTACATGGCAGGGTTAGGGCTGTAGCTGTCTGGTAGCAAGGCTTCCTTGTAGATTTTTCAAGCAAACAAGCTTGTTCTTCCCAAGTAGCAAAGACATTAAGGTGGTAGCCAGGCACACACTAGGCTCTCTTCTGGGCTCCTCTGGAGGTACGCTCCTATTGAATGCTGCCCAACAGAGTGAGGGAAGGACTGGGCTATTCTCCCATTTTACAGCTAGGAACACTGCAGCTCAAGGAAATGATGACTCCCTCTAAAACACAAAGCTAGGGAGCAGAATTGCCTTTGAACACTGGTCTTTGGACTGAACCCTTATGCTTAACACCCCAACCCCTGGCTCCTGGCAGATTTATGCTGTGTTTTATTCACACTGTCAAGGGTCAAGCTATTTCTGGGTTCCTCACTTCTAAGGCACATGAGAGAGCCAGCTTCACTATAGGCATGAGGTCTACACTCATCACAGTACCACTGATCTGGTTGACTCATCAGGAGTCAGATCCTTAGCTTCAAATAAAATGTGCCTCTTTAAAATAATTCAAATGTAAGTTAAAAATAACTCTCAGAGGGAAGGACTTGCCCTCACTGAGGACAGATGAAAAGAATGTGCCACAATCTAGATGTGTCTCAGATCATCTTGACCTTGGTCCTCGTCAAACTCCCCAGGGCCTGACACTTCGAGAGCAGGTGCATGATGGGTAGGTGTGGAGGGGATGGGGGTGGACATCACCTCCCCTCACTGTCAAAACAAACATCTCCAGGGGCCACTTAGACATGGCATCTCCTTGTGTGTCTGGTTCACGGTGTGCTTATGAACATGAGCAGCCTCAGTGCAGGGAAGTTAAAGTCAGAACTGTGGAAAGACAGTGGCAGAGATGCAAGGAGGAAGGGATCTAGTAGGGTAAGGAGCAGTGCGACATTTGCTACCTTTACATGAGTTACCAAAAACATCCTTGGAATGTACAAAGAACAAATTTCCCAGGACCTTACAAAATTCAGAGAAAATTTCTAACAATCTTTATATGCACATTTTGATCCAAGCATTGATTTTACTGTATATAACATGCATTCATATGTATAATTGATTTCATGCTTTCTATCAATTATGATTCTGGAATTTTCCACATAATGCTATGTGGAATGAACATTTCCACATAATGCCATGGAACAAACGCATCCTCTACTACCAAAACATCTTCAAAACCAAATTTATTTTTTCTTCTTTCTTTTCTCCCTCCCTCCCTCCTTCCCAGGTGCCCTGCTTCAGAACAAGCCAGTTTTTAGGCCCAGCTCTTTGAGGGGCTTGTTTCTACTTCACAGGTGTGTCTGTTGCATCAACAAATAAAATCTGTATCTGCCCTGTACCTTGTTTTGTTCCTTCTGAGGCTGTTTTTAGGGCATAAAGAAACCTTTGAAATTAGAGTTCAAACCTTGATGCTTAGAATGTACAGGCAAATATACTTTCTCACAGCCCAAGTCTGGCTTCAGTATGCCCACCCAGGACAGACACCCTATGCATACACCTACTAGTCCCCAGGCAGGTATCCTTAAAGGGGAGGGCAAGAAGGCAATCCATCCATGACTGCCACTTGGTATCTCCAATCCCACTGAGCACTGGGAAAAGCTATGGAGTGAGAATATCTGTCCAGACAAGATGGACACCACCAGAGCACCAGCACTAATCTCTACAGTCATCTGACCCCAACACGAAGTATTCTACCCAGTTCCTTTGCTGCCCTTCCTCCTATCACCACACACACACACACACACACACACACACACACACACACACACACTTCTCTGCACAAAAATCTACTCCAACATTTAAAATTGTTTCCATGAGATAGATTTTCAGTGAGACTACTGGATTGACGAGCATAAACTGTTCTCAAAAAAGTCTCCTCCTTTTTCTGGAGCTAATGGAGACTGAATGGAAGGCCGTGCACATGCTTGGCAAGTCCTCTACCACTGTACCACATCATCAGTCCCTAAACTACATCACTTTTCATGTCTCATTTCCTATGAGAATGTCCATCTCACTCGTGCCTGCCAGCACTGTGGGATTTTTGCCTTATTCTCTGCTCTTGTTATTTGCAGTAAGTTACCTGGGCTGGCCTTGAACTCCTTCTGTAACCTAGGCAAGCCTTGAACTTGCCTTTCTGCCATAGCTGGGGTTATAGGCTGTCTTCCAAGCCCTGTCCCTTTCTTTAAACATCTCTGTATCTTTTTACAAAGCATATATGTGTTTTCCTCACTCTTTCCTGAGTCAAGTCTATCAGCTGTTGCCTTTTGATGTCTTTCTTTGTTCTGCTGGTCTGTGATGGTGAGACGGAACCCCTTCCTAGCTGGGTGGTTTCCATTAAGGACACTAATAGCAATGAACTGCTATCTTGCTAGGAATAAGGCTGCTTTTCTCCATGACAAATCAGTCAGAGGTCTCACACTAGCCAGCCTCCTGCCTTCTTTTCATTTGTGAAGAATTGCTAACACGGACATCATCAGGTAAATATAATCAAAACCTCATGACCTAGGAAGAGGATGGCAAGACCAGCATCCAAGGAAAGAATCTGTCTTGCAAGGATTCATTTCTGGTCACAGGTAAGTTAACATACCTGTCTCTTTCAAGCTTCTAAAAATCACCTTACAGCCGGAATCTCTGATTGTTTGAAGCTTGGTCACTTCTTTGTCTTTAGGATTTGGAAATTGACCTCAAGTTTCCCTATTTGAAGCACAATCTTATATCACTCCTATGGGTAAAGGAGCTCTAATGTAAGATTCCACATTGCAAATGTTATATCAATGCTCGCTGGCATCAAGTCCACTAAATATCCCTCTTTCTGACACCAAGTCTTCAGCTCCTCATGATGGCTACAGTTCGGTGAACGAGCCATGTCCATCTGCCACCCTCATCTTCCATCTCAACCCCTCCTGCACCTCCATGAAAACCTCACCCTCATTTCTCCCTCAGGTCCCCCACTGTCATTTTCTCTCCCACACTGTGTGGAACCACCCCATCCTGTTCCAGCTACTCTAGTGAAATTTGCCCTAATCTTCCAGCATCAACTTTTTTTTCTTCTAGGTTCCTGTGACGATTTTCTTTGTCTTACTTAGTTTAGCTGCTTTTTGTCTATCTCTTCTCTAAAGATGTCAGTTGAAGAAGAACATAGGACCTGCCAGCCGTGGACAAATTCAGCCTGAACAATGGTTTTACATGGTGACTGTGTGAACATGAGTGTGCATATAAAGGAATGCATGAATGAAGAAACATGAGGAGGACTGGCCAATGAGGGGGGGACATCTATCCTTATGGCCTCAGAGAAGATGTGAAGACTGATGGTCAAAGTGTCCAGGCAAGAATGTGTGACTCTGCTAACTATAAGGTTGCTTTATGGTGATGCCAGTTCAGTATTTATGGAAGAATATTAGCACCACCATGGAAATTTTAACCCCAAGGAATTCAAGTTGACCCCTCGTTTAATCTGCTTTATGATCAAAAGCAACTTGGGGGAAGGGAAGGGTTTACACATGAAGTCCATCATCAAGGGAAGCCAAGGCAGGAACCCGGAGGCAGGAACCTGGAGGCAGGAGCTGAAGCAGAGACCATGGAGGAATGCTGCTTACTGGCTTGCTTTGCTCCCTTTCTTACACAGCCCAAGCCTACTTCCCTCAGTGAGCTGGACCCTCCTACATCAACCAGCCATTAAGAAATTGCCTCACAGACATGGGCACAGGCTATTGTGATCTGGGAAATTCTTCAGTTGAGGGTCCCCTTTCCCAGGTGATTCTAGTTTGTGTCAAATTGACAAAAACTGACCAGCGCAGCCCTCCCCGCCACCCCCGCCCATGACCTCTTAAGATTGCTACATCTGATGTGTGAAGGAAGGAGAATACTTCCATGTATGAGATGCCAGGACTGGCTAGACATGCGTTACAGTTTATAGTTATAGTTACTGTTACCAAACACACAGGTCCTCCATAAGGATCTTTAAAGAATATAGAGAAGTCAGTGACTCGTAACAGGCACCTGCTCCCTTTGAACCTACCATGCTTCTTTTCCTATTCAGCCAAGAGTATGGCCAAGTCTTCCATGTCCTCAAACATCTAACTCTGCCAAACTCTACAGCAGAGACTGGTGATACTGAGATGTTGGGAGCATGAGCCTAATGTCACAGAACTCACAGTCCAAGGGCTGGGAGCCATGTGTATGAAGGCTATGCTACATGAACATTAAACAAAGAACATGTATGTTCACTGAAATCCGATTCACAATAGTGAGGTTATGGAATCAGCCTACGTGTCCATCAGCAGAGGAGTGGATACAGAAAATGCGGCATATACACTCGATGAGCTTCATTCAGCCTAAAGAAGAATGATATACACTCACTCGCAGGAACATGGATGGGACTAGAAACCATCGTGCTAAGTGGAATAAGTCAGGCTTGGTATGACAAAGATCAATCATATGTTTTCTTTCCTGAATTTTACACAGATACATAAAATCATGTATGTGTATAGGACATGAAAGTAAAAGCAAGATTGTCTGGGCTGGGGGAATGAATGG